AGACAAACGAAGTGTCACAACCGACTTTCGTTTGGGTAATGTCAAATGTCCAACATTTCTCTTTCTAACGGTGTGCTGTTTATGCATTAAAATATGTATTATGTGCCTCTCGTGGGGCTAACTTTATGTCATTCTTTATTGATCACCCTGTACAACATGTTGTCCCGCCCGTCGTTAAAGTGCCACCTTTTTACGGTTTTCGGTTTAAAACGGTTTTCAGTAGACCTGACCCACCTATGACCTGAAGTCCGTATCCCGAAATTCGTCCTAGTTTTCTAGATATCCGCATTCGAACTTCACATTGATGCCGTCACAAAAAGTGTGGGAGATGGGATTTTAACATGGTAATGTTACATTCCCATATTCCACACATTTGTGATGGCTTTAGTCTGAAGTCCAATTGCGGATATCTTGAAAACTAGGCCGAATTTCGGGAAACAGACTTCAGGGTAGGTCATAGGTGGGTCAGGTCTAGTGAAAACCGTTTTGTGTAAAAAAGGTGGCAGTCTTCCTTTAAGCCAAAAAAAAAAAAAATCATCAAGAAAATAAACAGTTGTCCTGCCCTCTGCTATTAATGTATTACGCCATTGGGATATGTGAAACGTCATTTCTCCATCGTGCAGGAAGAAGCATGCGTGGGAAATACCTTCCTACACTTGGTCTTGGCTAATGTTTTGGCCTGACCTCGTATTTATCGAAAATACCTCGGGCCTAACTTAACATTCGCTAAAAAAAAATCAGTCAGATCTAAACATTATTCCAGCCCTGGCCAGGAATATATTGTCTACGATGATCAGCTCGAGCCCAGTTATATAGAAGAAGAGTATCCCCCCCCCCCCTCGGCACGATGTGTTGCTAGCGGAACCCCTCATCCGAAAAGGTGTGCTTGTGCCCGTTCAAAACTCACCGTCTTTGTCGGCCGGCTCTCCGTTTATCATCGTCTGGGCATACTTCTTCGCGGTATGTCTGATTTTTTGCAGGACATGCTCCTTCACGTCCTCCTCGAGCCCAATGATCATTCCCAAGTCAGTCCACACCTGGAAACATCGCAAAATCACATTAATGAATGGAATTAACATCAAGCAACATCAAGTGAACATAATATCATTGTGGAAGGTCAGGTTAGGTAAGTTACTCCAGTTCACAAAAAGTTTGAAAGTTTGAGCCGCCCCTGCCATACCTAGGTATTTGGAGCATTTCCATACAGTGTACCTGAGTGAGATGCTTATATTGTTACTTACACTGTGAGTTGCATGCTTCAAAAAATATCACAAATCTATAACTTATTAGCTCTACATAACAATCTTGTTCACAACTTGAACTAAATCAGGGTAATTGACATGGCTGTTTCCCCTGGTTTCAATGGCCTTGAGCATGTCATGGGTGACAATTTGTCTTCCAGAATTTCATCATCGCGGAAATCTTCGTCCGCAAATCTACGTCAACGCATTTCTTGGATTGTATGGTCATACTACGGATTACTGTAAAGTCATACTAACAAAACACAAAGTATAGAGTAATTTCAGCTTACCTTCGAGGACTGGGACGCTTGCTCGGTTCTCTGACAGAAGGCCTTGGTTCTGACGACTTGAGCACAATGGCGGTCGCGAATGTCGCGAACTGCAGAGACATTCCGAAAATATTATTCTTGGAATAATACTGTGCTGGACGAAAAGATTAATCACTTTTAGATTAGTTATGTCACAACGGAATAGGATTATCAAGAAAGTGATACAGTATTGCTTGAAATACGCTCCCGAATACTCCCCAAGAATAATGTTAGTAATGCTACCACATAATATTACTCCATGGTTATAAAATTATTGTCCGGACATGATAGTTTTATCACGAAGGAAGTAATTTTTACACCTACATGAGAATAGTTTTATTCTTTCGCGTCAATTTATCAGCCGTAATGGAGTATAAAAATTACCCTAATTACTCCACAGCGGTTTATTTTTATGCAGTTTTGATAAAAGTACTCTAGCTGTCAATTGTATTACCATCTAATGGGAGTTAAGCACAAATATATTCCAATGACCTTGTTTATCACTGTGAAATAAGCTAAAATTACCCCATGCCTCTTTGACACTGATATAAATTTATAACCCGAAAGAATAAAAAGGACACGTGATAAAATTAGAAGATAAAATTAGCACTTGCTAAAACACAAAAGAGATGATTATAGTACCAGGTTTAAGAATAACTTTCAAAAACGCCCTTAATGCAATGCAGAGAGTAAGAATATGTACGCTACAAAACATAATCATTATATGCCATTGGTGCGTGATTATTCGCCAAACTGGAGTGGAAAAACTCCAAAAATAACTCTCTAGGTGTAAGTTTTTTTCAGTGCACCTTCCGCGCGGTGGGGGGGGGCATTTTTTTGCCCCCCCCCCCCGTATCTCCGAAACTACTGGACGGACCCGGAAAATTCAAACGGCGTTCGATAGCCCTGTCAAATTTGTCGAAGGAAACCAAATTTCATAGTTGACCTCGGGGTTACCGATGACGTTACAGGTCAGGTCAAAGATAAAATGTTTCACCGTTCACGGGGCTTCTAGGGAAAGCGCTATAACACCGAGTAAAACGCATTTTGTCGAAAATCAGTGATAAGGCGTCAGTTGTCTAGTACATATGTTGCTATTAAAGGTCACTGGTCATACCAGGTCAGGTCACAGGTCAGGTCACCAAAGGTCACCAAGGGTCACCGCATGAGCCCAACTTTACTAAGGTTATGCGATGCATGTTTTATGGCCAGTTTTTCATTTCCAACTCAATGGTGTTGGTTATAAGACCATCAGGTACGGTTTAGACCACTTTTTGGTGGAGGTCAGGTCAAGGTCAGGTCAAAAAAGGTCAAATGTCAAAGTTGATATTTTTGCATAAAATGGGTATCGATTCGATGCAGCTCGTCACGGGGAGTCTAATGGTGGTCTTTGTTTTGCGCTATGAGGTCTAGAATTGCTAAAAATTGAGTTTGAAAATTTGATGTCATCAATTTTGAAGTTTTTTCGCTATAACTTGGTTAAAAAAGAGGTATCGATCTCAAATTTGGTATGTAGATAGAAGGTGGTAGGGACTATCACATATATACCGGTTTTTTCGAAATTCAAAAAACTTTTTGGATTTTTTGGCTATTATATCCAAAAATATCTATTTTTTGTTTTTTAGGGGTCAAAATCCAAAAAAAGAATTGAAAAACCGGAATAGCAGTTTTGTAGCCCTTTTGATTCCACACCTTTTATGTCAGAAACATTTTTCTGTATCTCTAAAGCTGTAGGCCTGACAGCTCTTCCCGCGTAACCTTTTTTTGGGTCGAAAATGGCAAAAATGACGTCACTCTGACGTCATTAGCGGCCAACCTATCATAGTCTTTGAAAAAAAAATTTGGTCACCATGTGCGCTAGCTGCTCCCGGGAGGGTACTGAAAGTTTGGTGACGATCGGCGCAGCGGTTCTCGAGATATATTGAAAAAACTAAAGGGGGGGGGGCAAAAAAATGCCCCCCCACCGCCTGGAAGGTTAATGTCCATACTTTTCAAAAATTTCAAATTTGTAAAAATCCGAGATGGTACGTTGATAGTGAGTGTATTCTAAGTCTTCTCATGCAAAGAAATCGGATCTAGATTAACCCGCGCACCGACGGGGGTCTGTGCCAACTTAGAACCGACGGGGGGCGGATGACCCCTCTGAGATCTCGAGAACGAAGCAAGATAGCGACAAGCGGTAAACAACAACATGGGCTTCGCACGGACAAGGTCTACATGGCGGCGCTAGATATGGAGAGTTTTTCTCGAATAACTTTCGAATTGGTCAAGCTAGGAACAAACTAAGGGCACCATCGTGATCCTCTCGTCAATCCACATCGAACCATATATATGTTGACCTCGAAAGGTCAAGGTCAAAGGTCAACCTCAGGTCACGTGACCTCGAGGTCATCATGTAGGTATATCATTCGATGCGCCTTGACGAGCTGAACACAATGAGACCATTTGCGCGGCTGTATCGTGTTCCTGTAAGGAGTTATTGGCAAAAAAAAACTTTGGTGACCTCTGATGACGTTACATGACCTTACAGCTGCCCAACAGCAAAACAGGCCTCAAGGTAGTGAAGGTTGATCGTATATGAAGTCATGCATGTATGGTATATATGGGGCCATTCTTACGCATTTTAGTGGAAAAAACAGGGAGTTGATTTTTCACCCATTGACTTATGATGGGGGTCGAGAAATTGACCTGACCTTTGGCCATCCATATCAAAATTCCGAGATATTCAAATTGTAGCTACCAATGACCTAATAACATCCTCCGACTTTCAAAGAACTCCGTCATCTACTGTAGCTCTGACACGGTGACAAAGTTGCAAAAAAGTGCCTTGAGGTTGGGTCTAGAGATGTCAATCGGATACCAATTTTTTGTTATACCGATACCAAACCGATACCAACTTGGTATTTGGTATTTCAATTTTCAAGGCGATTGCATTTGGTATTTTGTTGGTATTATGAATCTTTACTAATGTAAAAGAGGCTGAGAATTTGGTAAAAAGTTGGTTTTTTCCTCATATTCCCAAGTCGGTTTGGTATCGGTATTTTTCCATGGATATTGTTGGTATTTGGTTTAGTATCGGTATCACGATTTTCCATAATTGACATCACTAGTTGGGTCATTCAAAGTGACCTGGTGACCTGACCTTAAAAGTTAGGAGGTTCAAACTTGCACACCATGTGTAAAATTGATGAGGAAATAGTCAAAGCAAATTTCGCGGCGCTACGCGCCGCGGTCTTTTCGCTATTCGCGAAAAACCTCAGGGGTGCGGATAACCACCCCCCCCCCCGTCGGTGCGCGGGTTAAACCGGGCGATTCGGTTCAGCAGTTTATTGGAAAAGCAGATACGTGGCAAATGACAGGCTTATCTTAGGTACATTCATAGAATGACATTGAAGCGGCAAATTTCACTCTACATGCGTCAGACGGCTTATTGTACACTCGCACCTATATCCTAGATGCTATTCCGCAATATCCACAACACGTACATGGAGACCTTTGTATAGATGCCCGGATAATTCGGGTTACCGCAGCCGAGCCCTGTGGAGACGACTCCGATCACCTGGTAGCGGCGCTCTATCCCAGTGGTTCTGTACACCAGAGGCCCTCCCGAGTCGCCCTGACACGCGTCCTTGGACGTTCCGTCGGCGCTGTTGGCGCACAGTTTGGTGCCCTGAAATCCGCCGGGGAAATCGCGGTCGAACGTCAACAGGTGCTCATACGCCTGCTCGCAGCGGCTGACGTTGACCACGCGCAGCCGCGCCTCGTGCAGCACGCGCGACACCTTGCCCTGGAACTCTGTGTGCCCCCAGCCGGCCAGGTCGACCGGCCGGCCCGTGTGGTCCGCATGGCCCGGCGGCAGGCAGGCCGGCTTTATCTGCCGGCTGATGGGCACCGGCCGGCCCAGGTGCAGCAGCGCCAGGTCGTTGTGCTTCCGCCGGTAACGCGGGTGGACGACGATGCGCGCCACCGGCACGTTCACGTGTTTTCCATCGCGCGTCGTCGAGAGGTCGTACTCGCCGAGGCGGACCTTGAGGTCTGCCGGCTGCCGGCCGTCCACGCAGTGGGCCGCCGTCAGCACGGTGCGGGCCGAGATGAGCGTGCCGCCGCACGTCCAGCGGCGCTGTCCGTTGACCCGCTCTCCGAGCAGAGCCATCCACGGCCAGCGGCCCTGCTCGAGCTCGGCCGTCTGGCCGTTGATCTCGAGGGAGCGGCGGCGGCGGCGGCGGCGGGGGAAGAGCTGTGACAGCGGGTAGCAGACGTCCTGCGGCAGCACCACGTCACCGCACTCGGGCACCAGCTGCCAGTCGCTCCAGCGCTGGAACAGCTTGGGGCCGCGCGCCGCCCGGGTGGCGGCCGTCAGCGCCAGCACCAGCGCCAGCGCCAGCGCCGCGCCCGCGGGCGTCATGGCCAGCCTCCTGGGGGCGACTGGTGCCGGCCGGCGGCACCCTCGGCACCCAAACCGGCGCGGAAAGTCGCCGCCGGGTCACGGAAACAGACGGCCACAACCGGACACACAAGGCCACCGGGGCGCGACCCTCGGCCTTTGTGTCGTCTTCATTATGTGAACCGTCATGTGCGGTTTGATGTCTACCGTTATATATAGGTAACCAGGCCAAAAAGAATGGGGACATAATGCATCCAGGGATTCCTTGAGTACGTATGAGGACTGAGATGTGTTAATCCTCTTTATTTACTTGACTACACAACTGTTTGTACTTTTCAGTCTCCTGTTGGTTAGTTTGTCATAATCAGTTGTGCAATTTTCGAGGAAAACAATGCTTGATATGCTCGTTATCACAAGAAATTCGGGGACTGAAAACTTCCTCGAACTCATCAACTACATTCTCCGATATGTATAACCACACCGTCAACTTTCGTTGATGCTCAGTCTGACTGCAAACTGGACAAGGTGTCATGATGGAGTGACTGAAGTGAAACCTCGCTACATTTGGCGTGGGAAGTCAGTAGTCGTCAGTTAGGTATTTAGCAACGTATTGGCCTGAAAAGAGCCGTCACGGACCAACTTCTTATTGGGACATCTCACACATTGCCCCCAAAGACGGTAAATAACTTTTGAAAATACCCATCTCCAATGTTAGTGTTTTATGAACCAAGATTTTGCAAGGGATCTGATGGTGTGGTTCTCGCATTCTGAAAAACTTCCAGGAGAATTTTACTTCCTATATCTCTGGTATGGATGGGACTTGAGCCGTATTTTACTTTGAACTCTTTGCATCTACGCCCCAAATGAATTTAATCAGCATGAAGAGGATTGAAGATGGGGGTATTTCCCGTAGAAACCCGTCTTCTGCTAGCGTAAGACGGGTTCCTGACTGGGTTAGATTAAGACCTTCCTTAACCCGCGCATGAGTGGGGCATTTTCCATAACGCGAGTGGCTGGGGAGGGGCTCTCCAGAGCCCCCCCCCCCCCTATTTCCGAAACCACTGGGCTGATCGTCAAAATTCAACGGGGTCTGATAGCCCTGAAAAAGCTGTCGAAGGAAACCGATTTTCATTGATCTCGAGGTCACCGATGACGTCACAGGTCAGACCAAAGCAAAAATTATCAGCATTTTTGCTAACAATTTAGGCTCTGAGTTCTGACCGCCGGCTGAAAGTCCGATCAGGCTCATTTTTGCTTTACGCATTCCTTAATATATGCTTTGCATACCCTGAGGGTACCGAACTTTTACTTTGATTTTTTTCAGGTCGAGGCCAGGTCATCTTAGGTCACGAAAATTGTATATCATGTATCGCTCATACTCAGAAATTTCCGTTAATCTAAGGAAAGACTACGCTCGCTTCGCTCGCTCCGTAACTAAAGTGCATACTACAGTGCATACACTGCATACAGTGCATACTCCAGAAATTTCCATTATTCAGAATCTCCGCTCGCTTCGCTCGCTCCGTAATGATGTCAGCTCGCGAAATACGCTAGTAGCGTGCTAGCAGCGTCCGTGAAACAGGTCCCAGATATGCAGATAATAGACCGTCTAAGAACCGGTTCCACGTGGTGCCCCTTCCATATCCGGGGCAGAACAACCATAGCAAACCTCGAGCAGCAGACTTACCTTAGTGGCATCGGTGGTGTGCGAATAACATCAGTGCTCTTTAGCTCAGTCAAGAGATACAACGAGAAAGGCGTGTGAAGGGAGGGGAGCTAGTCAAAAGGTCCAGGTCAGGCCACTAAGGCACGACAACGAGAAACGACGAGACTACTAGACACGACAAGATCATATCGAGCAGACCCTTCAACTCTTCGCCCTCAAGTTGCGATGTCTCCCCGCCCTACAGTTCTGCTCCTGGCAGCAGTCAGCATAGTCTCTGCCCAGCTGCAGCTGACCATTCTACACAACAACGACGTCCACTCGTATTTCGACCCCGTGGAAGCCAGCACAGCTGCCTGCCGTGACCCCAACGACCCCGCGAGACCCTGTTACGGCGGCATTGGGCGGCTCGTCAGCGCCGTCAAGGCAATAAAGGAACAGACGCCCAATACCTTGGTGCTGTACGGTGGCGACATCTTCCAGGGTTACTTGTACTACACACTCTTCAAATGGAGAGTGGTGGTGGACATGATGAATTTAGTGCCGTACGATGCCATGGCGCTGGGAAATCACGAATTCGACGATGGTCTGGACGGCCTCTTACCGTACCTGGATGGGATCAATCATCAGCAGCTCTGCACAAATATCGATTTCGGTCCGCTGGCATCGCCCACAACTGACAAGTGCCTCTCCAGTGTCGTGCGGGAGATCGGAGGACACAAAGTCGGTGTCGTGGGCTTCACGACACCAGAGACGAGGGCCATTTCCAACCCACCTCCCGCCATCGAGTTCCTGGATGAGGTCACGTCACTGCGCTCGGAGACAGCCAAGCTGAAGGCACAGGGTGTCAACATCATCATTGCCGTGGGGCACTCCGGCTACGAACGGGAAAAGGAGATGGCGGAACAGCTGGAAGATGTGGATGTCATCATCGGAGGTCACTCAAACTCGCTGCTTTACACGGGAGTGGCGCCGGACGGTGACCACGTTACCGGACCTTATCCCACCGTGGTCCGTCAGCCCTCCGGCCGGTCTGTACTTGTCGTTCAGGCCTACAAGTACGGCAAGTACCTGGGGTTGCTGAACGTCACCTTTGACAGTAACGGAGAGGTGGCTGACTGGAGTGGGAACCCCATACGACTGGAGGGGAAGCAGGATCATGAGGCGGAAGCTGTGCTGCAAGGGTATAAGGATCAGATTTCGGAGTACGAGCGTGAAGTCATTGGCACAACATTGGTACAGCTCGCCTGCACTGATGGCCGCAGCGAGTGTAGCCTGGGAAATCTGATCACTGATTCGCTGGTGCGTGCACTGCTGGCGCCGTCTGCAGGTCAGTGGAGCCAGGTGTCTGCCGCCGTCATCAACACGGGCGCAATTCGCTCTCGGCTGGCGCCGGGGAACATCACACTCTCCGACGTGCTCAACATCCAGCCCTTCGGCAACACCATCAGACTGGTGACCCTCTCCGGCGAGACGTTGCGGCAGATGTTTGAACACTCTGCGCTTGGTGGAGGGGGTTTTCTGCAGGTGTCCGGTTTTCGAGTGACCTACAACATGGACTGCCCCGTGGGAATTCGTTTGCTACGCCTGGAAATCGTCTGCACTGACTGTCTGGTGCCTCGTCTGGAGCCGGTGCGTGCCAGGGGTGAAAAATTGTATCGTTTTGTCGTTGTCGACGACAACCGAGAAGACGATCTTATGGCGACCACGCGCAGCGCCTGAACTGATTAACTCCTTCCGCTTAGTGCGGTTAGAAGCGCACAATCCATCCGCCTCTGCCCACGCAACCCAATCACCTCTGCCCACGCAAACTATTCTCTGTCCCTCCCCATCACATCGACTCGCAGTTCTCGAGTCCGTTACCTCCCGTACGCGGCGGCATCCCAGTGGAAAATTTCCTGGTAGCTACAGACATATTCCAACTCCCCGTAGCTATTTAGTATATACTGCGTCGTTCGACCATCGTTCGGACCGCCGATCGGCGACCCTCATAAAGACGACCAATGGCATACCAAGTGGTCGCCGTGGTTGTCCGCTGGCAACACGTGTCTGGCAAATCTGGTACATTCCAGGACTCGGCCGGCCCCTGCCCGCACCCTTCAGCGCCGCCCCCGGCCGGCGGCCAGTTAGCATCCCCTCTAATCCGCCGGGGGTGCGGCTAATTGTGGGCTACGCTTTTGCGAAACTGCCAAGTTTGGCAGCCCAACTCGACCAAAGCGAAATACGCCTAGAACCATCCTGGTAACCTGTCAGACCGACTCAGAACGACTCAAACTGACTCAGACCGACTCAACCGACTCAAATCGATTCCGATCGACTCAGACAGACTCAGAACGACTCAGGCAGACTCAAACCGACTCAGGCAGACTCAAACTGACTCGACCGACTCAACCGACTCAAATCGATGCCGATCGACTCAGACATACTCAGAACGACTCAGACAGACTCAGGCAGACTCAAACAGACTCAGGCAGGCTCAAACCGACTCAGGCAGACTCGACCGATTCCGATCGGCTCAGACCGACTCAGATAGACTCAGAACGACTCAAACTGATTCAGACCGACTCAACCGACTCAAATCGTTTCCGATCGACTCTGACAGACTCAGGCGGACCCAGGCAGACTCAAACTGACTCGACCGACTCAAACCGATTCAGATGGACTCAGACCGACTCAGATCGACTCAAACTAACTCAGACCGACTCAACCGACTCAAATCGATTCAGATCGACTCAGACAGACTCAGAACGGCTCAGACAGACTCAGGCAGACTCAAAACGACTCAGGCAGAATCTAACTGACTCGACCGACTCAAACCGATTCAGATAGACTCAGATAGACTCAGAATGACTCAGACCGACTCAACCGACTCAAATCAATTCCGATCGACTCAGACAGACTCAGAACGACTCAGACATACTCAGGCAGGCTCAAACCGACTCAGGCAGACTCAGAATGACTCGACCGACTCAATCCAATTCAGATCGACTCAGACCGACTCAATCTGACTCAGGCCGACTCAAGCGACTGAAATCGATTCCGATCGACTCAGACAGACTCAGAATGACTCAGACAGTCTGTGAGTCTGTCTGAGTCAATCGGAATCGATTTGAGTCGGTTGATTCGGTCTGAGTCAGTTTGAGAGTCGTTCTGAGTCTATCTGAGTCGGTCTGAGTCGATCTGAATCGGTTTGAGTCGGTCGAGTCAGTTTGAGCCTGCCTGAGTCGGTTTTAGTCTGCCTGAGTCCGCCTGAGCCTGTCTGAGTCGATCGGAATCGATTTGAGTCGGTTGAGTCGGCCAGAACGACTCAGACCAACTCAACCGACTCAAATCAATTCCGATCGACTCAGACAGACTCAGAACGACTCAGACAGACTCAGGCAGACTCAAACCGACTCAGGCAGACTCAAACCGACTCAGGCAGACTCAGAATGACTCGACCGACTCAAACAGATTCAGATCGACTTAGACCGACTCAGTCTGACTCAGACCGACTCAACCGACTCAAATCGATTCCGATCGACTCAGACAGACTCAGAACGACTCAGACAGTCTGTGAGTCCGTCTGAGTCGATCGGAATCGATTTGAGTCGGTTGATTCGGTCTGAGTCAGTTTGAGAGTCGTTCTGAGTCTATCTGAGTCGGTCTGAGTCGATGAAGTCAGTTTGAGTCTGCCTGAGTCGGTTTGAGTCTGCCTGAGTCCGCCTGAGTCTGTCTGAGTCGATCGGAATCTATTTGAGTCGGTTGAGTCGGTCTGCGTCAGTTTAAGTCCTTCTGAGTCTACCTGAGTCGGTCTGAGTCGATCTGAATCGGTTTAAGTCGGTCGAGTCAGTTTGAGTCTGCCTGAGTCGTTCCGAGTTTGTCTGAGTCGATTGGAATCGAATTGAGTCGATTGAGTCTGTCTGAGTCAGTTTGAGTCGTTCTGAGTCTATCTGAGTCGGTCTGAGTCGATCTGAATCGGTTTGAGTCGGTCGAGTCAGTTTGAGTCTGCCTGAGTCGGTTTGAGTCTATCTGAGTCTGTCTGAGTCATTCTCAGTCTGTCTGAGTCGATCGGAATCGATTTGAGTTGGTTGAGTCAGTCTGAGTCAGTTTGAGTCGTTCTGAATCTATCTGAGTCGGTCCAAGTCGATCTGAATCGGATTGAGTCGGTCGAGTCAGATTGAGTCTGCCTGAGTCGGTTTTAGTCTGCCTGAGTCGTTCTGAGTCTGTCTGAGTCGATCGGAATCGATTTGAGTTGGTTGAGTCTGTCTGAGTCAGTTTGAATCGTTCTGAGTCTATCTGAGTCGATCTGAATCGGTTTGAGTTGGTCGAGCCAGTTTGAGTCTGCTGAGTCGGTTTGAGTCTGCCTGAGTCGTTCTGAGTCTGCCTGAGTCGATAGGAATCGATTTGAGTCGGTTGAGTCGATCTAAGTCAGTTTGAGTGGTTCTGAGTCTATCTGAGTCGGTCTGAGTTGGTACGTTATCTTCTCCTACCCGGTGACGTCACAGCATGCGTCGGCTTGGCACGGCCGCCACAGGTGGGGTGCGGCTAATGGTGGTATCTCGCTTTGGTCGAGTTGGGCTGCAACTTGGCGGTTTCGCAAAAGCGTAGCCCACAATTAGCCGCACCCATCCGCCGGGGCTCCTTTTGTGACGTCAAAACCCACCCCGGTGGCGCCTGGGGGTAGGTCCGCGGCGGGAGATCTTGAGTGGGACCGTGTCAGTGCCGGTAATGTTTTGGTGAGGCCAGTGAGGCCGAGGGGAGGGCACGCCATGTCATGCCTACGAGGATATGGTGGCTTAGGACTTCAGAGGTCGAGGAACACGGATCGTCGGACAATTGAGCCTGACGGCTGAGCGCCCTCGCTATCAAAAAGGAGCGGAATTATAATATATTCGCACGCAGGGTACGTGGCGTCTGCACGACTGAAGTGTACCAACTTGAGCACGTTTTGTTCAAAGGTGAGTGGAAGTCGACCAGTGGCACCGTCGAAGGGTCACCGAAAGGGTCAAAAGGGCTGTCTAATCTTTTCCGCGGCGCTGTACAGCTCTATATAATTGCGTTCCCGAGTTGTGCGCCGGTGTTAAAAAAAACATATACTGAGAGGCAATATCTTTCATGACCTCCGGTGACCTGACCTTTGACTTAGCCTATAAAACGAATGTCATATTTTCGCCCTTATTTTGGACGTTCTTTCGAATGCCGTTTACTGCTTGTCACTACGTGACCCAGGATCCGAGTTACGAGGGGTGTTTGAAAGGGCGGGGTGTTTGACCCCCCCCCCTTAATCTCGTAAAAGGGCGGGGTGTTTGACCCCCCCCCCTCCCGAGCAGGGCGTGGAAATCAAGGACCCTCAGCGGGGCGCGGGTTAGACATCTTGAGTTGACAACCAAATAAGCCCGTTTTCCTTTGGACGACAACCACCGAAACACTTTTTCCAGCCCTGGTGCGTGCTGAAAACACCTACCGAGTCCTCATGTCAAATTACCTTACCGGGGCTGGGGATGGCTATGACATCATCAGAGACAACAAGATCGAAGAGTTGAATACGGGTTTGCTGGACGTGGATCTAATGCGTAACCACATCGAGCAATTCTCCCCCGTCATCTCCGGCATCGAGAGCCGGCTGGTGTTCGAGACGAACTTCACGTCCCGCTGTGGGGTCAACCCCTAGCACTAGTCTGCGCCATTATCACGGACCTCTCTGCGGGCTCGACAAGGGCGAGGACCATTGAGTGAAGAGCAGAGCACTTTGCGTCATTACAGGTGTGCAGTGACTGTGTCTTGATGTGGCGCTTATAACAACAAGATGCATTATAAAGGAAACGCTACAAGCTAACCGAACATATCTGCTATTCTGTAGTTATTGTATGTGTAATACCTATCCATGTTGTCCTGTCTTATACATTTAGACACTTGCGTGTAAAAAAAGGGATCTAATGCCCGCATGAATGCTGTTTCTCCAATCGCAGCTAGCTCAGGACGAATGAACGGTGGCGTTGTCGGCGAGGAGAGGAGCGTCTTGCTTGGGCTGTTTTAGGCCGCTTTGCCCGAGGGCATCTTGCAATTTCTTTAGTAGTCTGCTCACTGTGCAACAGTATGTGATAATTATTTTTGATCTCTTTTTAAGACAGTTTACACTGACTACCCTATGCGGTATGCCAGATCCAGAACACCGATAGCATTGACCTTCCTTATCGGCTTCTGCATCTTTGCCTTTTAGGAAGGACTTCTCGGCCATCTCTTTTGTCTCTTGATCATATGAACATACACCCAGCATTACTCGAAGGTCACTAGGCAATCGAAGGTCTCTGCAATGTCCTAAAAGTCATAGTTTTCTACTCGAACTAGGTCAAGACCAAGATTCTTACAGATAGTCAAGGACTCAAGACACACTGTTCTCTTGAACAAACGCGCAACGTACAAAGGTTGACCTCAGGTCACGTGACCTCGAGGTCATCATGTATATCATTCGATGCGTCTTGACGAGCTGAACACAGTGAGACCATCCGCACGGCTGTATCTTGTTCCTGTACGGAGTTATTGGCAAAAACCTTTGGTGACCTTTGATGACGTCACATGACCTTACAGCTGCCCAACAGCAAAACAGGCCTCAAGGTAGTGTACATGAATTCAAGTATGGTATATGGGGCCATTCCGACCCGTTTTAGTGGTAAAAACAGGGAGCTGATTTTCCCCCATTGACTTATAATGGGGAGGTCGAGAAATTGACCTGACCTTAGGTCATTGATATCAAAATTCCGAGATATACAAATTGTAGCTACTAATGACCTAATAACATCCTGCGACTTTCAAAGGCCTCCGACATCTACTGTAGCTCTGGCACGGTGACAAAGTTGCAAAAAAGTGACTTGAGGTTGGGTCATTCAAAGTGACCTGGTGACCTGACCTTAAAAGTTAGGAGGTTCAAACTTGCACACCATGTGTAAAATTGATGAGAGAATAGTCGTATCAAATTTCGCGTTTTCCCGCTATTCGCGAAAAACCTCAGGGGGCGGATATTCACCCCCCCCCCCCCGTCGGTGCGCGGGTCAAAAGCACGTTTGTTGCTTTTTCAACCTTTTTTACCCAAGCTTTACATGTGCCATGTTTATCATGCCCGGCGTAAGCTTAAAGCATCCAGCGATACGAACGTCACAGGCACAGGAACGTCAACGTCAAAGATAAAGATCCCGAGTTGACCGCTTGGTCTCATCTACGATGTCTATAAATAGTTGCATTTTCTGGACTTATGGAACAACCATCTTGGAACGTGTCTTGTAAAAGCAGTTCAGAGGGTATTTATCTAAACTCTGATATCAAGACATTCTTTCGTGCTTTCATATCGCAGGGATTTGCGTCACCATGCACCAAACTGCACGATGTTATTTGATTAGAGATAGCATCGGCGAATAAGAGGTAAACTGTGGCAAACGCTGTTTTCACACGGTCTTCTCCGCTCCGTCCCTGCCTTTATACCGTTACTGTCTCGGCGCCATGGCCGTCAATGTCAGTCCGTGCGGGGGTGGTGCAACCGACATGGTCACCCTCAGCTGGCGGTTTTGCAACATCGCGCTTCAGAAAGAACAGTTGCTAGGTCCGGGAACTAGAAAAAAATGTTCCTGTGAGGGAACGATCAAACCATTAGCTTCTTGCTGCATGTCGCAAGGATAGGTTGTGCTATAAAATATAATATAATTGGTTATGCTATGCCTATGCAATTTTAGCTATTGTTTATGTTAGGCACAGCTTTTCATATAGGTATCAATGTGGAATAATGCCTCGTGCTCATCCGACCCAACCTTTCATCCATTTCAGGTCACTAAGAATAATTTTATCGGCGTTGTGTTTCATGTTCTTTGACAGGTAGGCGAAGTCTGGGTGAAGTCTTACAGGGTGATTTTTTTTACAGGGCAAAAAGTTTTTGAGCCTAGAGATACCAAAACATATAACAAACGCGAAAATAGTATATCTACGTGAAAGGAAATTGTTTGTCATTTTGTTTTCAGGACCTTTTAGAGACTTCTTGGGACTCATTCTGTTGTAAAGTTCCGTGAAAATGTCGCACAACAAAATGTTTTCCCCAAAATCGCCAATTACTCCAGGCTTGCGTGCATTAAAACTGTGCTCACTTCGAGCACGTTCTGTAAGCCTAAACAGAGCTCAATCTCAGTTTTTGTGTGCAAATGAAATGTCAGAATGTGCTTAGTACAAAGATATACATTTGCTGTCAGTTGATGTGTTTTCTGGTACCACCATTGCTCTTTACTTTTTGCCCTGTATAAAAAAATCACCTTGTAGATTCACGCTTATCACGTTATGGAGTTGAAAAATTTGCATTTTGTCAAAGTTTTCCACAAAGGCTTTTTCCAAGGTTACTACAACACACGGCTACATACGGCTTTTTCCTTGGCCTTACTCTCGAGCTCATAGGGGGGTCGATCGCAATGTCTTTCAGTTTTTCACTAGTAACTCGAGCAAAAAGCGGCTGATCGAGACGAAACTTCCAGTATCGTCGAGTTGCTTAATGGTTCACCTACCCTGAAAATTTCATGACCCTGACCTAAGCGACCTGTGACCTATTTCTCGAGATCATGTTTGGCCGTAATAGCGATTCGGCGTATGTCGGCTCGCATCCGTGTGTTTCCAGTCTGTTTGTGGTTGTGAACGTTCAAACATGTGAAATGATGTTGGTCCCATGCATTTTGGTGGGTGCCATTCTCACGTTAAGATCAGGTCAACGTCATTGACCTTTGATGAACTTGTATCACCTTTTCGAGTGTGTTTCTTGAGTAGTTTTCGGAGCTGATTTCGAATTAAAATTAAAAGGGTTTTAATCCGAATTGATTTCGAATTAAAACCCTTTTGAACAGTTACGAAGTAGTTTTGGTGCCTTCGCAATATGTTACGAAGCTGTCAGTGGTGGTTGACATCTACCATGGATAGCCGCCAGGACGCCTACGGGTTGACCTGACCTGACCCGACCTGACCTAAATGTATGGAGGCATCATATATGATCAAAACTTGAGTGAACTTCGTGATCAGCACCCCGAAAACCTTTGACAACCTAACTTCACGAAGTTCTAACAGGTCCCGATTTTTCCGACTTGTGGGTCATTGACGTGACCGGGAGGGTCAATCGATGACCCAGGACCTTAGAATTGGGTATCATCAGCTTCCTTTCGTCACTGGCAACACACTCGTTTTTCCGCAAGGCTAGTCTAAATCGATCAGGAGCCGAGAGGCAAGGGGTTCGAATGAACCCCCCTCCCCTCCCCCTTTAAACGTTAGACGCTGGCAAAACACCAATGCTGGTTAATCACCAATAATAATGGTTAAACACCAATAATGGTTAATCTTAATGAAGTCGTCAATTTACGGGATGTGGCCAATGAAGGGAACATCAATTCCTAAATACAAGTTTAAATTTGTGAGCACTGAGGCATAATTCATTTTGGGCTTCAAGTGCTCTTGGCTAATGTATTACACCTTACTTAACGCTCTCATCACCATAAGTAATGCAATGTTGACCCTTTTATTATGCCGTTCCTGTTGAAGCCATCAGAAATCATGGGTGCTCTTTGTTGAAATAACAAGCATATAAACGATATCGAAAGTTTCTAGTGAATATATATATTGAGACGGGTTACACAGCACATTGGGTGGACGCGTTTCGTCTAAATGACTTTTTCGACACTCTCTCGGAAATTAAAACAATACAAACACAAACAATACAATTTCCGAGAGGGTGTCGAAAAAGTCATTTAGACGAAACGTTTCTAGTGAATATTACGATTACTTACTAGATATTAGCCGTTTTCACGACGGGCTATCTGGCGAATGCACCTAATTTGACCAAATCTGCACCTAATCTCTTTTATAGCGAATATCTTCATTTTATGAATTTATTTCAGTGTTTTAATCAATGGTACTCTCTGATAATATGACAAAGCAGGCATATACGCAATTAGCGTAACCCTAGCTGATAGCTACTAAGAGATACACTGAACCTAATTTGACCAAATCTGCACCTAACCTGCACCAAATGTGTACCAGATGGCCGTCGTGAAAACGGCTATTGTTTTTAATTACATTCAAGCAAACACTTTGTATTTACAAAGAAATGCAGTGAACTAGTTATTTGGGCTGCACACAAGTGCCTTCATTTATCATTAAAGATCTACAAAAACTAATAACCTCTGGCAAATGGCCATTGCAAAAACCTTGCCAAGCTTGAATCACTGCAGTGATTGTGTGTGAAAGTGTCAGATCGAATTGCATTCAAGAGTGCAAGTAATGCAAGCTCCCGGAAATATCAGCCCAGCTCGCAATGCTTACCTATTGTTTTGCAATATTAAATGACTCTGCAATATGTGCTGCGGTGATGTTTAATTAAAAACAGTGATCGTGACGGGCGAATTGAGCCGCTGCCGCTGCGTTTCCCTGTTTCTACCGAGTCTGACTCGCATCATGAGCAATCGGCCACTGATACAATCACGGCAAACGATAGTCATAAGTGGGTCACTGCGTTATTATAAGCGCCGGGGGTGCGACAGAGACACCTGCCCTGTTTCATAACGCATCCAGAGATACACGTTCAGTGTTGACATTGAAGTGTCGTCGCCTCGAAGACCGGACGCCACATCTGTAGTTGATATCCTTCAAACTGACCGGTCGGTCCGGTCGATATAAGCCGATTCTCCCCCGCTGCACTTTTTGATACGTGTTTATAGAGCGCAGCTGTCGGATCCGTGGCCTGCTGGTGTGTAGGATCTAGGGCTGCGAGCGACCGACCCCTCAGCTGTCGGCAGACGTCACGTGATTCCCGGAACAGGCGCCAATGCCCGGCCGGCCAGTCGAGTGATAAACACAGCGGCTCTACCAGATTCCGCCGGGACGACCCGCCGAGCTTCTGTGAAAACTGGCGAGTGAGAGCCAGCGCTGCCGGCTCTGTGAGCTGTGCCACAGACGAGTCGAGTGGACGCGGTTGGCTGTGGTGTAGTGTTTGCGGTAGATTCAGCGGTGGCTTGTGTCTACGACAGTGACTATAGTAGTGCTAACGGGGGAATAGTTGGTGGCTACCGCAGTGACTTACCTAAGTGACCACGACGGTGGACTGTGGTGACTTCAGCATCGACTATTGTTTACTCTTGGTGGTCATGCCCAGTAAATAATGAAACCGTTACGAATAGTGTTTGTGACCTTGACTAGAGTAGCCTACGAGCGTCCATGACCGGTGGCAAATACGGTCATCACTGCTTGTGCCTACGGCCTATAAGTGTGACTTTCAGTGCCTATCATTGTGTACGTGTGACAGCGGCTGTTCTGACTGAGGCAGTTACCTGGTCGTTATTGTGTAGCGCAGTCTGTGTATGGTTCATTGAACTGATTGCACAGGGTGTTGGGACCACCGAGGACTGGGCGGCATCCAACTTCTCTGTTATCCACTCAGTCGACCGGGGCCTGTCTGAGCTGCCCCGCCGGTCACTATGCGCCCGCCACCCGCGCTGGTATCAGTGTGGCTGCTGGCCGTGGCCGTGTGCGCTGACAGCGGCCAGCGGGCCCACACCCGGGCACCGTCCAACTGCCGGGACCACGCCGGTCGGCCGGGTGTGTGCGGCACCGTCCACGACTGCCCGCCGCTGCTGGCACTCGTCTCCAACGGCCGCCGCCCCAGTGCCGAGGAGGTCTCCCAGCTGCGCCGCAGCCAGTGCAGGGTACCCGGCGGCAGCCGCAGGCGAGTGCTGCTCTGCTGCGCCCTGCCGCCACCACCCCCTCCTCCGGCGGCGCCCGAGGAGCCGTTCGACGGCGAGCCCGAGGAGCACCCCAACCGGCGTCTGCTGGAGCGGGGCGAGCCGTGCGGCTCCTCTCTGGTGCCGCGCATCACCGGCGGGAAGGAGGTGCGGCACGGCCAGCACCCGTGGATGGCGCTGATCGGCTACCGGCACGCGGAGACGGGCCGCGTCAGCTACCGGTGCGGCGGCGCGCTCATCGGCCGGCGGCACGTGCTGACCGCGGCGCACTGCCTGGTCAGCCTGCCGGCCCAGCTGCGACTCGACTCGGTCCGGCTGGGCGACCACAACCTGTCGCGGCCCACCGACTGCGCGCGCGCTCCCGACGGCCGACCGGTGTGCGGCGTGCCACAGGAGTTCCGTATCGCCGCCCTCTTCATCCACAGCGACTACAACAAGCCCAGCGCGCGGCTCAACGACATCGCGCTGCTCAAGCTCGACCGGCCCGTGGTGGAGGACAACTTTGTCGGCAAGATTTGTCTGCCGTTCGACTCGGCCCGCCATCGCAACTACACGGGTGTCGGTCTGTCCGCGGTGGGGTTCGGCAGCGTGGGCCCGGGCCGCGACTCTCCTTCCAGTGAGGTGCTGCTGGAGGTGGTGCTGCCGGGCGTGGACCAGCAGCGGTGCGCGGCCGCCGTGCGCCGGCTGGGCGGCCTGCTCGGGCCGCGTCAGATGTGTGCCGGAGGGGAGCCCGGCCGGGACGTCTGTTTCGGCGACTCGGGCGCGCCGCTGGTGGCCGACCCCGGGCCCGGTGAGCTGGCGCCCACCCTGGTCGGACTCGTGGCCTACGGGGCGCGGCTCTGCGACGGCGCCGTGCCCGGTGTCTTCACGCGCGTCTCCTCCTACCTGAACTGGATCCTGGACAGGATCGATGACTGAGCCGCCCTCGGCGAGCGTCCCACCTGACCGCTAGTGTGAGACGCTATGCGTTCTGCGTGTGCTATGTGGTAGCTTACGGTGATAATGCCGATAATTGTGGTAATCGTAACAATATTTCGGTAGGAGCATGACCCACGCAGGAGTCGCTTGAGTGGCAGTGGCTTGTCGAATGCTCTGTGCCTACAGCTGAAATATAATGCACTGCATCCGAATAAGCGGATGATCCTCCATGTTGAATATATGTAGGTAGGTACTTCTGTTCGTAAAGCAGGCAAAATGCTTCATAAAATTTTTTAAGTGACGCCGGGCGGAGATGATCAGGTAGGTGCTACCTTGATAAATGATTTACACTTTTATGTGGGAATTGAATTCATTTTCTTTTGTCGAGCCATAGTATCTATTCCGATGCGTGAATAGATTTAAACGTACCTACTTAAATGCGATCGCGTTGATGTGACTAATGTCGCTTTTACGATATGTAGCCCAATGGTTTCAATTGCTACTATTTGATTAAGCAAATCGTATTACTTTCAAAACCTTTCATAGACTTTTTATCATCTGATTTAAAAAGCTGTTGTTATTGCTCGATAAGCAGCATAAGTTAAATTGATTGTATGACTTACATGTGTTCAGTAGCGCCAATCGCCAGGTGGGCAACAAGGAATCGCTTCAGTATTGAACATTTTTCAGATGGTTTGAATTGAGCCAGTCTTTCTCGCATGCTGAGGCCATGAAACTACTAATTGGCGATAAATCCTACCTACATACACTGCTGTTGTCAAAGTGCAACAAGAGACAAGCTTTACATATGTTCTTTAGTTCTGTGGAACTTGTCTTTTCCGCTAACAGATGAGCAGCAGTTGTCACAATGTATTTAGCACCACAACACGTCCGCTTGTGTGCAGCTCTTATACCTGCTATTTAACCAAAGAACCCGTGTTCCACTCTTATGCCTGACCAAACGTAGCACAGATTCTACTCGATAAACAAAGACGGAAGAGCAAGGCCTTCCACTATCATCACGACGGCGAAACGTTCAGTTCAGTCCAGCCTGTCCAGAATCCAGTTGAGGTACTCGGAGACCCTCGTGTTGACGCTGGGCACACCGCCCTCGCCGCAGCGCACCGCCCCGAACGACACCACGCCCACCAGGCTGTAGGGCGGCCCGGTGGGTGTTGGAGCGATCAGCGGGCCGCCTGAGTCGCCGTCACACGAGTCGCGGCCGTCCTCGCCGCCGGCACATATCTGCTTATCGGTGATGACGCCTTTGTTCCTGGTGATGACGTCGCTGCAGACTCTCTGGTCCACGCCGGGCAGCCTCACCTCCATCAACACCTGGCTGGAGGGCGAGCTGGAGCTGGGGCCCAGCCGACCGTAGCCAGCCGCCGTCAGGTTCACGCCCGTGTAGTCGCGGTGTCCTGCTATACCAAACGGTAGGCAGATCTTGCCGACAAAGTCGTCCTCCAGCACGGGACGGTCCAGCTTGATCAGCGCGATGTCGTTACTCGAGTTGATCCTGCTGTATCCCTCGTGGAAGAGGCTGGCATTGATGCGGAAGTTCTGCGGGTGGTTGCAGATTGGTGAGCCGTCCGCCCTCTGCTGACAATCCTCGCGCGAGGTGAGGTCGTGCTCTCCGAGCCGGACGAACATGAGCTCCGCGTCGCCCAGGTCGGTGACGCAGTGCGCCGCCGTCAGCACGTGCTGCTGGCTGATGAGCGCGCCGCCACAGCCGGGGCGGATGCTACCGGTGATCAGGTCGCGGTAAAACAGCACCGCCATCCACGGGTGCTTGCCGATGGGCACCTCGTCTCCGCCGCGGATTCGCTGGTGCACGATTGTGCCGCACAGTTTGCCCTGCTCCACCAGGTGCTTGTTGGGGTGGTCCTCCGGAGGTGGCTGGGACGATGACGGTGCGCAGCAGATGTGCACTCGAGTCTTCGTCCGGCCGCAAACACTCTTCTTGAGGAAGTTGAACTCGATGGGCGTCGGTCGTCGGCCGGCTTCGACTATCCAGCTGAGGCCGTCACACTCTTCGATGGAGCCGCACGTTCCCGTTCGATTTCTGGCGTCACGACACTCGAGTTCGCTCTGCCGTTTGAGTCTGCCGGCAGAGACGACCGCCGCCAGGGCACAGGCCGTCACCAGGACATCCAGTATCCTCATGGCGGACGGCGGAGGGCCAGGAGGGGACCCGGACGGAGTGCGACTCTGACCGGGCAGCGACGGTGACCGGTCTCCTCACCAGCGAGCCCGAGCACTGCGATCGTCGACTGGGGCACGCCGGACACCGCCCGCCCACTGATCTTATAAACAGTGCACCCGGGCCCCGCGCGGCCCAGCAGCAGCGCAAACTCTGGAAAGCACAGAGGCCGCCCGGCTCTGGGCCAAATATCCAGCGTAGTCCGGCGTTTGACGTCACCCTCTCCCCAGCCTGAGTGACGACTGCCTGGGTGACTGAGTGACGGAATGTCAGGACCGCTTGGGACGCTGTCCAATGACCAGTGTCCGGCCATTGCACTGCTCAGATACGCAAGGCTTGACATTCAGTGCTTCCAAATATTTACGACCTTTAAAGCTAATAAAAATTGCGCATTATAAATGTATGTACATTTCAATACATTTCGACTTAAGGTTGTTGATACGCTTAACCGATGTCTTTTATTATTATCCGTAGCATCCGGCTACATTGTTGAACTTAGGTAAAATCTTAGAGCAACACTCAGAAAGACCTTTAAAAGAGCTATCGTATGCACTTCTTTGCTGCGCTGTTGCTCTTTTGGTTCCAGACTTATGCTCTGATTTGTGAAAAGTTGTCAAAATCGGGAACAAGAATTCGTGAACCTTTGGTGACCTCCAGCGACCTCAGCGATGACCTGATAAAAAATGATCGCTATAATTCTGAAAGAGATTATGGCAAACTATCTATTTATTTTTAACGCGTCTTTCTACATAGCTTGCTTACTTCCCGAGATAACCTGGTGTGGCCAAAAAGGTCCCCTTTCACCATGGCGAAGTTTGCTTAGAGGCCCTCCCGGGCGCGGGTTAACCCTCGCCGGACCTATTGGTTTTCTACATACGCGCCGGCCGAGGGGGGGGGGCGGGTACGACCCCCCCCCCTCGCCGTTTCGCCCCTGGTGGAGCTAGCGCGTCGCGGAAAAAACGAGCGTGTGCGCCGTTACGAGACGCAGAGATTGGTACCCGATTTTAAGATCCTAGGTCAACCGGTGACCTCTGAGGTCAGGTCAAGTGCCCCAAGGTACGGTTCAGTTTTTGGTGAATAACTTCGCAAAAAACGGCCGCAGAGCGCCGATTTTGGCAGCATCATGTTCGTCTCGCTCAGGCGCGTCGAATGATATACTTTTTGTCCGGGTCAGGTCAACTTGGGGTGTTGACCTCAGGTCAAGGTCAGGTCAGCACCCCCAGGTCACGAAGTTGGTCGAAAGAGGTCATGTTGCATATCATTCGATTCGGCAGGCCTTCCTGAGTCCATTGGTGACTTTCCCAACTCGCTAGCTCAATTTGATCAAGAGTTATTGACGAAAAACTAATATGACCTTGATGACGTCATAAATGACGTCACGCAAGGTCAACATTGCAAAAGTGACGCATCTAACCTTGCAAGGAGTGCATCAAATCACGATTCTGTGTGCTTGAGATAGTTGGAGATCGTTCCCGGCTCCAGAATAGCAGTTTGAATTTTTCCCCATTGACTTATAATGGTGAGGTCACGAAAATGACCTGACCTCATATGACGTTTAGGAAAAAACCGAGATATACAAGTTGTGGGACTCATAATGGATACTAGATCCTGCAAGTTTCATTTCCCTGTGACATCTCCTCTGGCAGTGAGGGCGTTGCGAAGTTGCGACATCTGAAGACCGTGCAGAGGTTCACTTATGACGTCATAGGTCAGTGACCTGACTTGACCCAAAAATGCGGTTGGTGTCAAAAGATCCGGCTTGGATCAAAGATCAGATATGCCAAGTTTCAGCTCTCTATCGCCAGCGTGTTCGGAGCTATCGCGAAAAAAAACCTAGGGGGGGCGGCACCCGCCCCCCCCCCTCGGCCGGCGAGGGTTAACGAACCCCACGCGTTTTACGCATATTTGTGGTCTGCTGCAGATTGATACGTGACTATAGAAAATATCTTAGTTACATAAGGTGTTGGATAGTTTATATCCCATTGATGCTCATGTGCAAAATAACGTAGTTCATCATTCATGAAGGTTTGTGTTGAAACTCCTGCGCCGGGAATTCCAAAAGCTGAGTTACGATGTTTTGCCGCTGGTCGTATGTAAGTACCTACACCTATTGACATTCAGTCCACTCATCATATGGAATAGAGAATTCAACCACAATTATTTTAGTTAACTTTTGTTTCCCCATCGCTTGACCGTTTGATTCTTCAGCGCAGTTGCTGCAACTACAAAAGTTGTAACTTGTAGGTGCCTTAAGTGGGTCGGAAATGCCACGATTGCACCACGCGTGGGACTACCGATTGTGGTACGCTAGCTACACTCAATACATAGACGGATATCCCTGTTATACATCTCGTTGATAAAAATACCGGTGTTATGCAGGCTCAAGACGATTTCGCTCTGCAGACGGTACTATTACCTGCTTTTGCTGGTTTGGTCTGTTTATGCATGGCAGTATCAAAAACGTTACGCCTGTATCTTAACCCTATTCCTGGCGGGCTCCGCCGGGACAAGAAACTGGCGGGGGGGGGGCGATTCGGCCCCCCCTGAGATCTCGAGAACGAAGCAAGATAGCGACAAGCGGTAAACGGCATCGGATACGCATGGACAAGGTCTACAATTTTTACAAAGGTCATTTTCAGGTCAGGTCAAAGATGACGTCACAGGGGTCGAAAAAGTCAAAATGGCGGCGCTAGATATGGAGAGAGTTTTTCTCGAATAACTTTCGAATTAGTCAAGATAGGAACAAACTAAGGGCATCATCGTGATCCTCTCGTCAATCCGCATCGAATGATATATATGT